AGCGTGGAAGGAAAATGAANNTCTTGTAAAGTAGTGCTTTTCATCCCATCATGCACTAGTGAACTACTGAACTTGTGATGCAGCCGGTATGTGTGTACAAACTTGGAGACCACGGCTTTCAGAAGGTCTTTCTGGAGTGTGACTTTGTTGTACTGGTCCAGGACGATCTCCGATGCATAAAATAAGTAGAGAAGGCGTCGAGAACCGGCAATCAACATTTAGACCTTCGCAGAGTGTTCACTCGGTCTAATCTCTCAAACCTCCCACAAATTCCTAGCGCCTACGTGCGACCCCACATGCAATAAGCCATTCAAGCGTGACAGCCGTAGCAGAAGCAGGAGCTTATTGTTTCTGCGACTCCTCAACGGAGGTAAGGTAATATATTAGGGGCCCCTTCCATTTGCTCCGTCATTTTAGTTGGAAGTCCCTGGGAATGTACCGCAAGCGATATCGGCGTTTGCGGGGTAACTTCGTAATGATGTACCAGGTGCGGAAGAAGTGCAACACTAACCTAAGAGGTCCTCCTCTGAAACCTACACTACCGTATAACCGGCTGGAATGCCGTAGATATTACTTTTCCTTTCGAGTGTGTCAGCCGTGGAATGCTCTCCCATATTAAGTAATCCTGTCCCCAATCCGATATTTAAAAACAAGTTGACGAAGCGCTGTTCCAATGGCATCTCAATTTACAAATTATGGAACAGTTGAACAATGATTTACAACGGATAAAACAGTACAGGCTTAACATGTCCCGCAGACTGGTAATAGAAGAAATTATGATTTAAATATTACATAAGTGAACCAGATAAAATACACATGGGCTAAGCGATAAAGTAATTATCCTAAGATGCATCGTTATGGGTGTGAGATAGTACAGCAGAAAAATAAAAATTTGTGATGGTTAGGGCTCAAAGCAAGCAAAAGCAGATTGCACGCACTTCTGCATAAATTTACCTGCGGCACTGTGGGTCATAATTCCCAAGTAGCTAGTTAACTAGAATAAATCGAGAATCTCCGTGCAACTAACGAAGTGTACAGCGTTCAAGTCGATATCCAATCGTTTTTTGAAAACAGCTAATGTGCGGGTACAGACAATTGAGTTTGGAGTGGCGTTCCAGAGTTGGCAGACCTAATGGCAGAAGTAAGTTCGTCAACAATTTAGACGACTATGTTGTTGGCTCAGTTTCAGGCTATTGCCTCTGAGGTTGGTATACAGGCTGAGTTTCAATAGGTGACGGCATACGTGACTGGGGTCGCTCAGTACCTGGTCTCCACGTAGCCGCCGGTAGCATCTACTGAACACTCCGAGTGTCTTCAGTGGTTGCCGGCACGGAAGGTTGCGCAATCCCTTGACAAGTTTTGTTACTCGACGTTGGGAAGTTTCGAGCGCTACAAGGTTAAGCTTAAACCAAGAATACGAAGCCTGGATTACCTATTCAACGTTGGGGACGCACATAGGCATTGAGAATCGGAGAGAAGATGGATGCATCCCAACTCCCGAAGGTAGCCAGGAAGGCTACGAAATGCAACCAAACGGTGTGCTTCCAAAATTCCAACCAATGGATTTATGGAGGTATACATTTATCACGCGAACATCTCCGCTCTTCTACACATGTATATGGTGAGTCCACCAACACGCTTTTCAGCTTAGTATGAATTTTTACTTTCTCATTGATTTCCATCTCAACTAACTTGTTCAGCATTGCTTTTTTATTCCTAATACGCCATTGTTTTATTGTAACTTCACAACCTCAAGCCAGAGCTGTACGTACAGAAGCAACTTCTATGCCAGTTACTTTGACTGTAGTCAACCTCTTTCATTATATGCTTATTCGATTTGCTTTTTACATCTGTTTACATCTGTATAGTGGTTAAAGTAAGATATTTAATTACCTTTTTCTTGCACTTAATCTGCCACCATCAGTGATATCATGATTCATCGATTTAGATGTTAACTTTAACCTCCTAACCAATATTTTGTCAAACTCGGAACATCTACCATGTAGCCCGCACTGTATGAATATCCGCGTCTGATGAGCTTTACAGAAAAGAAATCTTTGTACTCTGATTCATCTTACTTGATTGATTAATCGCATTTTCACACCCGTTACACGGTTGTCTATTCGGGGATTCTCCTCACCTTAGATGTAACCCTAACGTTACATTTGTCTTCGTGCGATACCGTAATTCATTTCGCATTGCAACGATCGCAAGTGCCCGCTTGCACTGCTGTCGCCTTTAGGCACACACATTAAGAATCAGACAAACCATCAAACAAGCTTCAGCGTTGACCCCTAAATTCATTAAAGTATGACAATCCAAAGGAGTAGCTGGGGCACAGGTACATTTTCAACAGATTGATGTATTAATTGAGAAGGGTTGGTGCCCAGAACAGGCGATAACGGGAACAATAAATAATACCACATTACCGAAACAGCTTAGAGAGCAGTCTCAAGTAATGGATCGCAATTAGGTTTTCAGAGCTACGCTCTGTGAGTAGCACCCGGTAACTCGATTTTTGTCATGTCATACTGATGGAGCTTTATAGCCGAAATATTTTGCAAAACGGTATTTGAATAAACGAATTCAGGGGACTAACGTTCTGCGTCCCCCAAATTAGGTCTTCATCCATGCCGCGATTTGTCACAGTTTGCGTACTACCTGTGATATTTTCTGGACTCTTAAACAGGCAATTCAACGTGATCAACAGGTCGCTGAAGCATCTTACTCGAAGCGGCGGAATTTCCATATCCGTGTTATTGACTACATTGTGTTCAGTCATGTTCGCTCCTGTGCAAAACTGGCATCCAAAATACTCACTGATGCCAGTCACCCTCTCCATGGTGCATTGTCCGTATGTAGCTAGCCGTCTTCGACCAGCCAAACGCACAAAGCCATTTATGCCCGCACACGGGCTTACGGTAAGTCAGTTGTACCCCATTTGTCATCTTTTCTGAAGGATCAAAATAAAGTCAACCATGATCTTATTGTCAGACTGAATGGATGATATAATCACTTTTCAGAAAAGTGAAACAGTGGGTCCCCTTCAGCCACGTCGTCAAGGCAGAGAGAGGACAGCGGTTGCGATATGTCAACTGGCTGAGACGCTGGAACAATTGTCATTGAGTACAGAGCTGATGTACTCAATAGATGTGGACTCCTTATTCATAAACTTGCCTTTACCTGAGACTATCGATAATTTATGTGATTTTATCCTTAGCCAGAATGTCTGTGGGTCTGCCAGTGGAGTATTTAAAGGATATGCTTCTATTGTGCACCGAGAACATACGGTTTGAATTTGAGGAGCCC